AGCAGGAATTATAGTTCTCTGACAATCTAGCATGTACACACACACACGCAGCAGAGAGAAGTGGCAGACGACACTCAGTATGGTGCATTCGGAGATGCTCTGCTGTCTAATTTCATTTGTGGAAAATCCTGGTCATGACACGGAATTCACTGCATGACAAACACCGGCTTAGGACAACAGATGCGTACGCACAGTGCAACAACAGATAGAGCACGCTGTACCCCGCTGCTGTGCAGCAGGAGTGCAAGAAATGTTCAGCTTCCTTCTTCCCTGGCTGTGCAGCACACCGGCTGGGAATACTGTGTGCTGACTCAGACAACCCTGGCTTCGAATCTTGGCTCTGGTACTACCAGACAGAGAAGACCTTGGGCAAGTCCCCTTATGCCCTGCGATGACCTCCCTATCTGAATGGAGACGGGAACAGCTGCTTCTCCATGAGACAACGAATGCCAGGCAGGCAGTAAGCTCTCCGTTAACTCCTATGAGACCCCAGCTCCGGGACCACCAGGCGGGGGAGGCGGGAGCCCGGCAGCCCGCTGCCCTTGAGAAATCACCACCTCCGGCTCCATTCTTCTCTGTTCACCTGCGCCAGCTGAGCGTCCCATAGGGCTAAGGACTGAGCGTCCCATGAGGGAAGAGCCCCTCTTTGGGGTTGGGGGGCCTTCCTTCCTCCCATTTCCATCTTGTCTCTTTGGGATCAGTGCCTCAGTGAGAGGTGTCAGGATAGGACCCAGGAAGCCGGGCTGGGGTGCTCTGTGGCAGGCTTGAGGGTGGGAGGCTCTGGCCCACCTCCTTCCCCACTCACATCTCCGGGCAGGGGGGCCCGGGAGCCCAGAGCAGCGCGTTAAGGGAGCAGGCCGAAAGTCACCACAGGACGCAGCTCTGTGTGCGTCCCTGCGTGGAGCACCTGAGCAGACAGCTCCTGAGTGGGGACAGCTGCTGTGAGAGGCTCCGGGTTTCCACCCTAATAGTGAGATCAAAAGGCATTAAAGACTCCACATTTGTTCTCGGGACGCCCAGAGCAGGGCCTGCTCCTTGCCTGCTCTGCGGCTGGACCGTGGAGGGAAGCTTAGGAACCTCAGCCGGCCTCTGACCTTTCTCCTCTGAGGTGGGTCTCTCTTCTGGGCAGCGAGGAGGAGAAAGAGCCTGGACATGGGTGGGACTGGATGGACATGACCTTGACCAGGGGCGCTCTGTATCAGGCCCCCACGGACACCTTACCTGGACTATTTCCAGGCTCACAGCACGACAAATGGGAAATGCCACCCCATCTCGTAGATGAGGGGCTGGTGGAGAGGGCCCCCCCGGCCAGCCTAGCTGAGAGCAGGTCCCACCTGAGGCAGGTGCTGGCAGCATCAGGCAGGGGGCGCAACTGAAGTCAGGATCCCTGGGTTCTGGGGCTGGGCTGCAGAGGGATGGGAGCACTCGCCCCTCCAGTCTCGGCCCCCTGGGCCCATCCTACGGATGGAACCACAGGTTCAAAGGGACCTGTGGAGGGGGAGGCTCAACCACAGCCACTCGGGAGCTGGGGTCCCTGGACAAGTCTCTGTCCTCTAAGCTTCGATTGAGTAAATCCTGTGTTTGGGATGTTCCCAGTATCCTGTCAGCAGG